GCTTGGACTAGTGAAAAGGCACATGCACATAGAGGAGAGATCAACTAAGTATGAACCGGAACATCATCATGTGAGAGTTGAGCCATGTATGTGAGTGAGACTTGCGCAAACACATGCTCATGGCTCATGTATGCAACCAAGTTTGAAACGGAATGTCATCGTCCACCATGTGAGTGGAAGGCACAAGCTCGACTAGTCCCAAAACACAAGTCTTGAGCACGAAATCACTTATCGAAGAATCGGATCATTTCCTACTAACATATGGGTAAGAATCAAGACTTACATTAGACAAAATCACAAGTCTTGAGCAAGAGATCATCCATGAAAGAATCGGAGCATTTTCTACTAGCATGTGAGTGAAAGGCAAGAGTTACACTAGGCTATATCACAAGACTTGAGCAAGAGATCATCCATGGAAGAATCGGAGCATCTGCTACTAGCATGTGATTGAAAAGCAAGATCTACACTAGTCCAAATCACAAGTAATGAGCATAAGATCATTCATAGAAGAAGCGGAGCATCTCCTACTAGCATGTGAGTGAAATGCAAGAGTTGAAGTAGCCCAAATCACAAAGTTTGAACATGAGATCACCCATAAAAGAATCGGGACATCTCCCACTAGCATATGAGTGAAATGCAAGAATTGAAGTAGCCCAAATCACAAAGATGAATATGAGATCATCCATAGAAGAATCGAAACATCTCCTACTAGTGTGTGAGTGAAATGCAAGGGTTACACTAGGCTATATCACAAGATTTGAACAAGAGATCATCCATGGAAGAATCGGAGGATCTCCTACTGGCATGTGAGTGAAAAGCAAGATCTACACTAGTCCAAATCACAAGTAATGAGCATGAGATCATCCATGAAAGAATCGGAGCATCACCTACTAGTGTGTGAGTGAAATGCAAGAGTTTGAGTAACCCAAATCACAAGTGTTGAGCATGAGATCATTCATAGAAGAATCGGAGCATCATCTACTAGCGTGTGAGTGAAATGCAAGAGTTATACTAGGCCAAATCACAAGAATTGAACATGAGATCATCCATGGAAGAATCGGAGCATCCCCTACTAGCATTTGAGTGGAAAGCAAGATCTACACTAGACCAAATCACAAGAATTGAGCATGAGATCATCCATGAAAGAATCGGAGCATCACCTACTAGTGTGTGAATGAAATGCAAGAGTTTGAGTAACCCAAATCACAAGTGTTGAGCATGAGATAATTCGTAGAAGAATCGGAGCATCTCCTACTAGCATGTGAGTGAAAAGCAAGATCTACACTGAGCATGAGATCATCCATGAAAGAATCGGAGCATCACCTACTAATGTGTGAATGAAATGCAAGAGTTTGAGTAGCCCAAAACACAAGTGTTGCGCATGAGATCATTCATAGAAAAATCGGAGCATCTCCTATTAGCACGTGAGTGAAAAGCAAGATCTACACTCTTCCAAATCACAAGTAATGAGCATGAGATCATTCATGAAAGAATCGGAACATCTCCTTTTACTGTGTGAGCGAAATGCAAGAGTTACACTAGTCCAAATCACAAGTAATGAGCATAAGATCATTCATAGAAGAATCGGAGCATCTCCTACTAATGTGTGAGTGAAATGCACGAGTTATACTAGGCTATATCACAAGATTTGAGCAAGAGATCATCCATGGAGGAATCAGAGGATCTCCTACTAGCATATAAGTGAAAACAAGATCTACACTAGCCCAAATCATAAGTAATGAGCATGAGATCATCCATGAAAGAATCGGAGCATCATCTACTAATGTGTGAGTGAAATGCAAGAGTTATACTAGGCTATATCACAAGATTTGAGCAAGAGATCATCCATGGAGGAATCGGAGGATCTCCTACTAACATGTGAGCGAAATGCAAGATCTACACTAGTCCAAATCACAAGTAATGAGCATGAGATCATTCATGAAAGAATCGGAACATCTCCTACTAGTGTGTGAGTGAAATGCAAGAGTTAAGGTCTCGTTAGACACTCTTAAAAGTTTCTGTTTTTTGGATTGCGTCTTCGTTGCACGCGATCCTAAATCCAATTTCGAGATCGAAAATGTGAAAACGGCGTTAGAACGAGTCCTAAAGGATTTAGGATTCCCCAGGCAAAATCGTCCTAAATTTTCCAGTAGCCCCCGACCTACTGAAAAATTTAGGATTCCCGCGTTTCACGAACTCGTTGCGTCGCGCGCATGGCACCGTTGCCACGGGGTTGCTGGTCCAGGAGTGGTCCGTCGGGTGGGTGGCCGGACATCGGAGGTTTTCTGCGGGTCGGGGCCGGCAACGGCCACCAGCGGTAGCCGTTGGCCGACGGGGTGCAGCGCGAGGGGGGGCGACGGTGGGCGGGCTGGCGTCCGTAGTGGACCGTTGGCTCGGTTGCGGGTGACGAAGGAGGACGACGACGTGCGCGGGACACAGTACGGAGGCATTTGGGGCGGTGCGCGGGCGGCGACGGTCGATTTTCGAATCGCAGGCAGGCAGCTTTGTCGTTTTTTGTGTGTGTTGTCGGCATATGAAGGTCGAGCGGCCCTATCCCCCGGCATGTCGGAACACTCTTCTGCAGTAGTTGCATGCGAGGGTGGCTCCCGAGGTTAATTTCATGGCTGACGTGCAAAGGAGATTGCCTCTGCTCGTACTCGTTGTCGTCGTGTTCCTCATCGTCGTCTTCCTCCACGTGTGTTTGTCGTGGCGGTCGTGAAAACAACATCGCAAGAGGAGGGATTCAACGAAACGGGCGGGCAGGGGAACGTCCGATGGCGGGCATGCAGGCACACGCAGGTGTTGGTGCAGGTCAGGGCGGAAGACGACCTCCGACTGCGGACCCTCCACGGCGGTACGACCCATCTTTGTACAGCCATCTAGAGTCGTGGGAGACGCCACTGCCCCCGTCGGACGAGGACCCGCAGACGGAAGAACTTCCAACGTTGCCTCTTGCCAGCGGGTCGACGCAGCTGTTGTCGCAGACGGTGCGAGCATGCGAGTCGGCTAGCAACGAAGGCGACGAGTTCACCTCACTGCTGCACCAAGGCTTGGGAGACGACGACGACGGAGGACTTGATCTCAGGTTCGGGTTGTGTTCCGGCGGCGCTAGGGAGGCGAGCCGCACGTTCATCATCGACGCCGATCCTTCGCCACATGGCGTTCAACAATCTGGAAGTCAGCATACGGAGCACTCCACACTTCGTGGCGGTGCGTCCGTTACTAGCGGTGTCGGGCCATTGGCAGTAGGCCGGCAACACGGATCGAGTGCACCGTCCGCCGATCGATTGACGAGTACCTGCCCCGCACCCAATGGAGTCGCAGCCGGGTCCTTGCGCATCGGCGGTGCACGTCCTTCGATGCCCAAACGCACAACGCCGACCCAACCCAACCCGACCTCCGAGACGACGGCGCGTGCAGACCAGCGGTGCGTCCAACACCCACTGTGGAGAACATCACACGAGGAGTGTCAAACATGAGGCCACACAGCGATGGTGGCGACGACGATGGTGGTGGCGGTGACGATGCCGACGAATGATTCAGGAAGGACGTGGAAGCAGGGGACGACGACTACGACATTCCTATTCGGCCTTTGGGGAAGACGGGTGGGAGGGGGAGAGGACGCAGCAAAGGTGCTGTTCGTGGTCGATCCGTTGGTCGTGGGGACAAAGGTGGCGTCAACGACGACGGCGGGAAGTCTGCGACGTACTGGTCTTCAAAAGAGCAAATGCAACTAGTGAGATGCAAGCGGGAGCAAGAGATGCACCTCGCCGGGCTGGGTCACAATTACGGGCGGATGCGGACCAAGGAGTGGAAGTGGGACGACATTGCGAAGCGCATGGCGAACGCGGGGAGGCCTAAAGACGCGGACGACT